TGGTGGATTCGAACCGTGCACCTCTGGGATTGTAGTTGCAGCTCCTTGCCACTAGACCACCAGAGCTCCCCTCAGGAACACTCTTGTTGACTCTACCCAGAGTCAGCTCCAGAGAAGGATCCAGTGATCTATTTCCAAAAGTCAGGCACTGGTTCCTTAGGGAGCACAGCTCCACCATTATTTCATTGTTAAATATAATTTCTGAGTGTATTACTGATGTTACAAATTAGAAATGTGCTTTTAACACTGCTATTGATCCTTTGTTAGTAAGTTCTTTCTTTGTGACAAAAAAATGACAACTTCCTTGAGTGTTGATTATTTGTATATACTTTTTTGGCAGCCTGCTTTGTGACACTCCTGGAAATATTGGAGGATTCTGGTGGAGAAAATGCACTGAATCAACAACTCAACTCACTGTTTTTGAGTTGAGCTGACTCATAGCTGGCCCTATACTGGGTTTTCAGAGACTGTGAATCACATAGAAGGAGATGGCCCATCTTTCTCCTGTGGAGAAGCTGGTAGATTTGAAGAGCCTGCCTTTGGATCAGCAGTGCAATTCTCCATCCACTAGGCCAGGATTTGCTGTTTGAGGGTACCTTTTAGTTGAGCCTCTTGTAAACCCACTTTCCAGGACAACTGTTTGAAATTTCACCTCCTACAGATAAACTGAGGGCTGATCTATAAACTACAAAGAACGAAAAGGGAGCTGCCTGACCCTTTGCCTCTGCCAGTTCCATGCTCTTTGATAAAGCCTTTTTGTAACCTGAGGGGAGGGTCAGGGAAGGAGCCAGGCACAGGGAAAAACAATGTTTAGATGAGGTCAGAGAAAGGTGAGATGAGGGAGGGTCAGCAATAAAAGGAGAGGACCAGAAGTGGGGTGAGATTTCAGGAAAAGATTGAAAACAGGAAACTGGTCAGAGCAGAAGTATGGTGAGAGTCTCGTGGCATGATAGTCAGTGATTGTATGCTGCCTGTGGTTTTTACGTTCTATCAACCTGTGTGAAAAATGGTCATGCAATAGAATTCACTTCTCGATCAGGTGACAGCAGACATCTGAACAGCAGAAACTTTACAGTGTGTAAAGATAGGTGAAGGGCATGCAAACCTTTGGACTTGGCCATCTTCTTAATGGCTCATAGAAATGTGTCATGGTCAAGCCCAGCCATGGGGTGCTCAGAGGTAATGTTTATAAAGTGGAAACATTAACCAGCACTATTCTTGTCACACAGGGGAGAAGCAGAACTGGTGATCTACTGCTCTCTGGATCAATGGAGCTGGCTGGTTGTGTCCTTGATAATGTTATTTATGACTGTTTACAGAGTTGTGTGTACATTTCTAAATAGACAGGGGGCTCATCAAGACACAGAAAAGCATTTAAATGATCTGGGCTCTCTCGACCCTTTAGGTTCAGAGGACAGAGAAAGGCTTTGATGAACAGAGGCTAAATAACTAGGCTTCTGCTCAGTCTAATGAACTATGGCCCTTTATCAATAAAAGAAGTATTAAGGTGAAGGATGGTTCAAGATTCCTTGTCACAGATGAATGGATTTGGTCGTTGTTTATGGAAAATTGGATACAGAGTTGTTTGATGGTGGTGGTGTCAGTAGCTCTGGAGTCAGCAGCCTGACACACAATAGGATTCAGTTGTGATCCTTAGGATTTTCACTGACTGATTTTGGAAGGAAATCTTCAAGCCTTTCTTCCTAATCTGTCTTTGTCTGAAGGCTCTGCCAAAACATCTTCTGTATCATAGCAACAAACAAGCCTCCACTGACAGATGGCTGGCAGCTGAATTTGAGGTGCACTGGCTGGGCATTGAACCCAGGTTGACATATGATTGGTAGCTGTACATGAGGTGCACTGGCTGGGAAGTGAACCCAGGTTATTTTCATGAAAGGCAAGGATTCTCCTATGCCTTCTCCACTCACTTGCCTTCCACCTTGACATTCTGACATCAGCCCCACTCTCCATTCAGTAATCACTTACATTTTACAACTTGAAATAACTTTTCCAGTCTCTGAATGGTAAAGGCTATGTCTCTCTGACAATTTTATTCTACCAGAGGCTCCTTGGGAGAAAGATGGGCCACTTTTTCCTCTATGATTTATAGCTTCAGAAACCCAATAGTGGGTTGGTTAGCTGTGATTTGGCTCTGACTAGATGGTGATGAGTTGCTTTTTTGCTTTTGTCTTATTTTAGTATCTTAGGGAACTTGATGTGTTTGAGTCTCAGCTTTCTTGGCTACCAGCTAAAGAAACACATCGTATCTCACAGGTTTGTTATGAAAATCGCATTAAATTACAAAATCACATATGTAAACACTTTTGTAGCTCAAATACAATGAAGAACATCTACACAAATAGGTGATATGGTTACTATCCCCAGCATATTGATATTTTTAGGAAGATAGGCTTACTTATCTGCAGAAAGGTGCACATAAGGCGCATATATGAACTACAAAATATGCTCATCCTCTCCCACTGCATCCATCCTGACATACTACATGCAATAAACCATACAAACGATAGGATTTTCAATGTTCATTCAGGGATCAATTTGTGCTGGAGAAAGGATATAGAAGCTAATGAATGACTCGTCTTAGAAAAGAAAATATTCCTACTGGTCAAGAAACTCTTCATAAAGGGGCAAAATTGGGGCTGTGGTTTCTTAATCACAGCTTTACCTTTACCTATGCAGGTAACTGTGGGACAAATCCATTTTCCCTAAATTGGAGTCCAAATGCCTGTCACTTTCAGAGTTAATGACTAAAGTGTAAGGGCTGTACCATACAAAGCCTGGATCCCCCTCACATCATCCTTGGGGAGGCGAAATCCGAACGGATGCTGGTACTTATACGTTGGATACATCAGTGCTGATGGGTCTGTGGAATGGGCCAGGCCCAGTGCATGGCCAAACTCATGAGCAGCAACAGTGAATAAATTGAAGCCTAGGAAATATGAAAGAAAGACAGCATCAATATAGACTTCTCCCTTCCACCATTTTCTATCTTTCTAGGAACATTTATGCCACTATTAGAGCTAACGGATATCTTTTTCATTTTTCACCAAAGGCTAATAGATTTGTTGACTTTAGTTCTTTTGACTGTAGATAAAAAAGGGGATGTGAGAAGAATGAAAATGCTAAGAAATCCACTCTAATCATTGTCAATTACTCTGTTGTGTGAAGGTATAAAGTTGGTCTTTTATATTAATTGTCAAAATGATAGTTCATGGTAATATGTAGATGGTGGCGGCCAATGTCTTAACTAGTTTTCCTTCTACCACAGTCACACAGGTGTCAAGCTGATGATTTCCAGATGGCCTTTATTCCCATCCCAATTACACTTTTCAGGAGAGTATCTATTCCTTTAGGTCATGTATGAACATAACTTGTTTCCAGGAATAAATTAGGAGCAATAAATTCCGTGTCATGTAATAATAAGAGAGCAGTGTGCTAATGAGGGTATTTAGTTTCTTAAGATTAAAATTTACTAAGCAGAGACAAGTCTATAGCACATCTGGGGTGGTCTTTTCCCTTATGGTGTTCCCTTTCCAATTTTTGGCTTACTTGTTTTTCCTAGTCAGCCTCCCCAGTTAAAGGGTGGATTGGGACGTTGAACGTCAAGGTTTCATGATGGAGGCCCAGGAGAAGGTACAATATTTTCCAGGTTATGGTGAATTGTGCATATATACCATTCATTCCCATAGTCCACTTCTCAGCATTGTCGAAATGGGTGTCACCTCCCAGGCCTTCTCCAGGAGCAAATGCATGAGCCAGAGTCCCTCGAGGGCCATCGAATGGATAGGAATCCCCATGATCTACACGAACGGAGAGAAATGCCAACAAGGATTTAGTCCTTCTAGCAATTTAGAGAGAGACACACAACATTTCAGGGAAGGGACAGATGTCTGACACTTCTCATGCAAGTAAATTTACTTCTAATATTCACACATCTATGAACAATCTGTTCAATGAGCAATAAAGAAAGATGTCTTGCCCTTAAAGGGCAGGAAACTATTAATAAACTTTATTAATAAAAAGCTTTTTAAATGTTTCTTTGTAACATCTTTTAACTGACATGTGAAATACTGTGGACTGTTTGCATGCCATTGGCTGCAAAAGGAGAAAAAGCAGAAAGTCATTTGACATTCTGAGTCACTGTCTGAAATGTGAGTATTTTTATAGAGCATGACTTTCAGTATATGACTCAGGTAAAATAAAGTGAGCAAGTGGACGCTTTCTGTTTCTATGGCACAAGCTAAGACTTTTCTCTAGCACAACTTAAGATCTTTTTTTTAAAAAAGGAGACCATTTTTATATCTACAAGATGAATTGGTAAACCCAGTGATTGTAACAATGGACTTGAACATGTTAAAAATTAGGAGGATGGAGCTCGATAGGACAAGATCTGATCTGTTATTTATAGGGTCTCTGAGGTGCCGTACTGCAACCTGAAGGGACACGGTATGAGTCCACCATGTGAAAAATGTGGGCAATCTCCTCTTTTGTGATTGACTGTCTCCGCAAATCCATTAGAGGATCAGCTATGAGCTGTTTCCGACTTGTTGGAACATAACTACTACAACAACTATGAGTTGCAGTCTACTTGACAATACCCAACAACAATGTCATGTGTAACATTTAGGATAATAATAAAGTTGTCTATAAATTGCAGCCTTATGTTTTGGTTTATTATCCCTAATTAAAGTTATAATCTCTTAGAAACTTAATAAAATAGGAGGAGGAAGAGAGAAGCTACATGTTACATCCCCCCCCACCCCCGAACTCTGATGAGGACACAGTTCAGGCATGCCTTGTGCTCAGATTCCAGAGCAGTGTACTTTAATTTGCTTTCATGTCTGGAGGACCTAGCATGATGGTGGCACAGTTCCAGTGAATTTACGATTTAGAGGACTGGACATCAGTTTGAAGGATCAAGAGAAAGCCAGATGTTATCTCCACGGCTCCCAAAGTTGCCTGAATCACGTTGCCCTGACACAGTTGCCTGTATCACATTGCCCTGACATTTGGTCAGAAGTGGCCTTGGTGGTCTGGGGGAACAAGATGCCCAGAGTTTAGCACTCTTTTTGCTATGGGACAACTAACACACAAGGCTTGATCTTTCTCTAGAGCCTGATCATTTTTTACTGTAGTGAAATGGGTTAAAATGAACATTAGACTTTAATAGACAGGGACAAATAAAGAAATGTTGTCTATGGGGTGTGTGTGAAGAAACAGTGCTAAACACTGATTTATTTGATTTCTAGAAAGCTCAGACCCCCTGACTCATTGCCAATAAGTTGATTCTATAGAACAAGGTAGGGGGTTTCTATATGGCAATGGACTGACTTATCTATGGGACTGGTGGGTTTGAAGAACCGACCTTTCTGTTAGAAGCTCAATGATTAGTCAAAGCAAGCTGGGAAAGCAAAGACATTCATGTATCTTATGACACTCCCTTTATCTACTAATGGGCAAGTTTCTCTGACAAAAGGGCTCAGAGCTTCCCACCAATTCCTGTCAGACTTATGCCTCTATTCCTTACCAGGATAGGAGATGGGGTAGAGAAGTGAGGCAAGTTACAGGTAGGTCTTATAGACACCAGTGAGGGCTGGCTATTTCCAAAAGGTGGTCTGCAAGTTGTGAGCAAGACAGCAATTCTCCTAACCATTGCTGCAGAGGGAAAAGCTGTATTAGGGTCATTGTAGGATTTACTGCTTCAATGAGGACACAAGATGTGAGAATCTTGGTTGATATGCAAAAGGTATATAGCAGGAATCATCCTGAAAGTAATGGGATGAGGCTAGGTGAGTGTGTAGCCAATGGTGTTGTGTGCTGTTGGGTTTATTTTAACCCTGTAGGACAGAGCGAAACTGACCCATAGAGTTTCCGAGGCTGTAATTGTCATGGTGGACAATGCATAAAGAAGACCTATGTAGAATTGATACTTTTGAATATTGGTCTAGGTGAAAAGTGTTAAATATATAGGGGATTGTCAAAGGCAAATCTATCTTGGAGGAAGTGCAACCTTAGAAGAGCTCCTCAGAGTCAAGGATAGTGGAACTTCATCCAATATACTTGGACATGTTGTCAGAAGAGACCAGTCCTTGGAAAAAGACACCATTCTTACAAAAATAGAGGGACACTATAAAAAAAAAATAGAGGGACATCAAAAGATAGTAGTCCTGGATAGTCCTTGGAAAAAGAGACCATTCTTGGAAAAACAGAAGGTCATGAAAAAAGCAAACAAACAGGAAGACCCTTTAAAAAATAGCTTTTACGGTGACTGCAAGAAAAAACTTGAGCAGAGCAGAAATTGTGAGGATGGCACAGATAGGGCAAGATTTCGATCTGTAGTTCATAGCATTGCTGTGAGGAATAGTAGACACAACAGAATATAAAAACAGCAAGAATCTCTAAAGGAGCAGATTTGTAGATTTTTTTTCTACGTTTGAACTACCAGCCTTTTTATGGTAACTGAGTGTTTCATCATTGCACTCTAGCTCCGTGCTTAGCTAGGGTTGTTGTGCCAATAGGAAAACGAAGTATTACAGAATGTGTGTCCTAATATTAGGGGCAGAAAGGAGACCTGGAAGCGTAGGGGTTTACACATGGGGCTACTAACCAAAAAGTTAGATGTTCTAATCCATCAACTAGCCCTGAGGAGAAAGAAAATCTCCTCTCACGAAGATTTACAGCCTTGGAAACGTGGTAGTGGACTGTCATAACTCAGAATCAACTTGAGCACAGCAGGTTTGGGTGTGGGAAAAGGAGTCTCTTGGGTTGTGCAACTGGTTAACACCCTTGCACTCTACTCAAAAGGCTGTTTGAGTCCTCTCAGAGAGATAAGAATTGCATGGCCATCTACTCAAAGTCAGCCACTGAATTCTTAGGGATCACGATGTTACTCGGCCACTCCTGGGATCTCATTTCTTCTTTGCTGCACACGAGGTTCCATATCTGCTCTGCTGCACGTGGGGTCCCACGTCCACTGTATATGAGATTCCGTGTCTACTCTGCCACATCTGGGGTTCCATGTCTACTTCACTACACATGGGTTCCAATATTTACTCTGCCACAGATGAGGTTACCATGTTTACTCTAGATGCATAGAGTCCCACATCTACTCTGCCACACTAATGGTCCCACCTTCTCTGCCACACATGGTGTCGCTCTGCCACATATGGGATTCCATGTCTGTCTGACACACCTTGGGCCCCATGTCTGCTCAGACACTCATGGGGCCCCATGTCTACTCTGCCTCACATAGTGTGACCATAAATTAGAGTTGACTTAAGAAAGAGCAAATATTTTTCCCCCTCTTTTCTTTTTACTGCTGATAGGGCAAAACTATTCTAAAAGCTGGGAACATTGAGTCTCTCACACAGCTAATTCTAATGATAAGAAATGACAAGAATGTCTTAAGTTCTAGTTCATGGTGTTAAGAACCAGTGGGATTTCTCAGGATCTTAACCTCTGTGCTGTAAACCGTGGTGTGAAGGGAGATTGTGCTGATAGGTTAGACTACTTATTATAGAAGGGCAGTGTAGGACACACTCTCCTTTGGCTCAGTAGACAAAATCCAAGAGGCAAAAAAATCCAATTACCTCCAGTTTCAAAAGAGATCATTATATCTGCCTCTCCTGAATGTATTTTCACAAAATTCAGAGGGATGGCGCTGCTCCAGGCCTGCAAGGCCATCTCCACTGCTTTGTCCACTTCAGATGGACTCATGGAAGATGTGTATTTGGATATTCTGTGAAAAGAAATGAAACACATTTTCTATTTGGTAAGTGCTTCCAAGGGAAGAAGACAAAAACCATATGATAGATAGCTTTATGTTCAATATTTATAAAACAATCATTTAGGTTCCTTCCACCTCTACGCCTTTACCATCACCCCTCAATGTTAATTTTTATTTTGCTTTTCTGTTTGCTAAAATACTGCAGTATTCAAGACAAAAGAAAACATGAGGAGGGAAAATGAGAGGAAATAGAGATTATCTGGGGCTGAAACAGCTTGGCTTTTACAGTTGGTTGTTGTTGTTGTGTGCTGTTGAGTCAGAACCAACTCTCCAAGTGGGATTTCAGAGGCAGTTACTCACATGGGAGGCAATTGTCAATCTTTCTCCCACAGACCAGGTGGATTTGAGCCACGTTCATTTAGGCTGGCAGTGGAACTCCTTACTGCTAAACCACCGGAGCTCGCTTTGTTGTTATACTACCATGGATTATAAAGAAAGCTGTCCTGGTAGTGCATAATATATCAGGCTTTTAGCAGAATCCACCAGGCACTCCATGGAAGAGGGCTGGGTGGCCTCTTCTTGCAAAGAATTGCAACTTTGGAAACTTGGAGAAGGGTCACCCTGAGTTAGAACTAACTCTACAGCAGTGGTTTGGTTTGATGATTGTAAAGATGGTCCTGGTGGCACAGCTGAGGAAGTGTTTAACTGCTAACCAAAAGTTGATAGTTCAAATCCACTACAGGAGACAGATGAGGCAGTCTGCTTCCACAGCATTTACAACCTTGGGGAGTATGGGGAAGTTCTACTCTGTCCTATAGGGTCTCTATTAGTTGAAAATGACTTCACAACAATATACTTGGTTTTCCAGTTTAACTGTAAAGAATAACATTGGTGTAACTTTGTATGTATGAGGACTTCCATTTTCCTTTAAGTGCTTTGGGTTGAGAAGGGGTCTCTTTCTCCTCTAAACAGACTGAAACATTTCAATGGAATTTTGAGTTTTTGAAAATTGTCATTGAAAAACCATCATGATTTCCCCAGGGTCACTGAGGAATATCTTTTCTAAATAGTAGGTATCTCTTAAAGAAGAAGTGACTTTACAAAGATTGTTCATTCAGACAGAAAAACAGGCATGTCTTTCAGTCAACAGGCACTCCTTGAAATGACGGCTTGTGAAAGAACAGTATAGAAGGTTTTTGACAAGCAGTAGGTGGAGATGGCATTGGTGTTTTTCCAGGACTTGCTGTTATGGAGTTCAGAGGGTAGAGGTTTTTGGCAACACAAAAAACCCTGGTAGGAGAGAAACTGCCACCTTGGGCCAGGGCTGGTCTGGAAAACTGGTGCAAAGGGTGAACCAGCTCTGTGAGTGAACTATCCAGCGTAATTTATGAGCAGGGATTGAATATACTTTCTTTTCCCAGTTTCTTGTCCAAAGTTTTGTACATATTAAGGACTTATTAAATGCTGGTAAATAAATGGACTAAAGAAGCTGATAGTTCAAGGGTCAATCTAGTGGTTCTAAATTTTGTTGTTGTTGTTGTTTTATAGCATTGAGTTGGAGTTGACCCATAGCTGACTCTCCAGTGGGTTTTCAGAGGCAGTAAATTGTACAGGAGCTGCTGGTAGATTTGAACCACAGAACTTTGCATTGACTGTATAATTCTTTGTTGTTGTTGTTGTTGTTATGTGCCATCGAGTCGTTTCTGACTCATAGCGACCCTATGCACAACAGCCCTAAACCCTGCTCTATCCTGCGCCAACCGCACTGCCCTCTGACACACCCATCCTGATTATCCCAGTCACCAAATCAATCCATCTCATAGAGGGTCTTCCCCTCCTGCGTTGTCCCTCCACCCTCCCAAGCATGATGTCCCTCTCCAAGGACCCGTCCCTCCTGGCAACATGTCCAAAGTATGTCAGAAGAAGCCCCAGAATCCTTGCCTCCAAGGAATAGCTTGGTTTAATCCTCTCCAAGATGAATCTGTTTGTTTTCCTGGCAGTCCATGGTACATTCAGTACTCTTCTCCAGCACCACAGCTCAAAAGCATCCACTCTCCTTCTGTCCTCCCTAGTCATTGTCCAACTCTCTGATGCATAACAAGCGATTGCAAATACCATGGCCTGTATCAGGCGCACCTTAGTCTCCAGAGAGACACCGTTGCTCCTGAGTACTTTAGAGAGGTCCCTAACAGCAGACTTTCCCATCGCGATACGCTTTTTAATTTCCTGACTGCTGGTGCCAAGAGTGTTGACTGTGGAGCCGAGCAAACTGAAGCTGTGAACAACTGGAAGTTAGTATAATACACAGGTGTGAACCAAGGAACTGCATTTTAAAAGCATTATTGTAATATCTAATCTCTTACATTGGCTAATATCTCATCTAATCCCTTAAATTGGTTAATATCTCACCTAAGCCCTTGAGTTGGTCTGATTCATAGTAACCCTCCAGTGGGTTTCTGAGGCCATAGACTTTTCTAAGAAGAGACTTTCTGTCTTTTTCCATTGGAGCCAGTTGTGGATTTGAACTGCTAGCCTTTGGAATAGCAGGCTAATAGTTTACAAACTATGCTACCAGGGTTCCTCTAAAATGGAGGGGACCGTGTATCATAAATAAGATGATAAATAGTTCAATATAGAACTAGAGAGAGAGGCAACAAGGAGATTTCTACATCCAACATTTGGTTGAGGAGTGAGCCAGAGAATAGAAGAGGGGAATCTTAGAAAGACTCTCAAAATAGCTGTTTAATGCTTTCAAAATGGGCCAACCCCACTACAGAATATAAAATTATTATTTTTCTTGACTGTATATAGTTGAGGGAGCTCTGGTGGCCTAATTGCTAAGGAGTTGAGCTGCCAATCCAAAGACAGGGGATTCAAATCCATTAACTTTTCTTCGGGAGAAAGATGAACAGTCTCCTTATATGTGATTTACAACCTCTGAAACTCTCTGGAAAGTCAGCGATGAATCAGTTCTGACTTGATGGTACTAATAACAACTCATGTGGTTGGGAGTTCTGGAATCTTATTTGAAACTACAACTTGAACGGCCAACCCAAAGGCACATGGTTCAAATGCACCAGCTTCTCCACAGGAGAAAGACGAGCAATCTTCTCCCACGTAATTTACTGCCTCTGGAAACCTGCTGGAGGGTCAGTTATGAGTCAGTTCTGACTCAGTGATATACAACAACAGCATGTATAGTTAATATCTTGAAAATCCTTCTCATTAAAGACAAACCAGTCATATCATTGGGCTAATTATGTGTTTGGGCTGGAGAAGAGATGATTTGCGAAAAGAATAGTGCCTGTAAGGATGAAAATGTCCTGGCCCAGGCTTTCACCTTGAAGGAAGAATATGGCAGGAATAGGAACCCCAAGCTTGATCGCTTCCTGAGAAACTTGATAACACCTAAGCTGGTCTTATCAAAGACCAGACCAGACAAGGATCCTGATAAGAGTCTGAGCTTGATTAAAAAAGCTAAAACCTAACTTAATTAACATGCCAAATTCCAAGAAATACCATCTTAGTCCTCCTCCCCCCCCGCCCCTATAAAGAGGATCCCCCCCAAACTGCCCAGGTGCCATTTCGTCCCTCTCAGACCGCGCACTAAAGGCCTGTTTGTTTCTTGGAACCAATTTCTTTCTTTGTTTCTCTCCCTTGCACCCTCACGCTCTTTTTTTTTAATATCTAACACAGCTCAACCCAACCCGTTGACACGGAGTCAGAACCAACTCATGGGAGACTCTCCAGGGGGCTTTCAGAGCCTGGAAGTTGTGCTGGAGGACATTGCCCATCTTTCTCCCTAGGAGCAACCGGTGTATTTGGGCTCTCAGGTAGCTGCAACCTTTGAAACTCAACTTCTATGGACTAGGTCAATAGAACTCCCCTGAGCCAGACTGTAGACGTTGATAAATAAGATTCCCAACACCTAACAGGAATTAAGCTTCAGATTGTACACGGATATTGCTCTAGCATGGGGTTTTTGGTCCGTCACCCCCAGGATCAACATTGCATTTTATTATGAAAGTTAAATTCATACCTATCATACATGCTTTTAAAATGTCAATTATCAATTTTTTAAAAAGAATACATGAGGTAAGCATGTTTTAATGTAGTATCTCAATTAGTCATCCAGGAGCACTTATGAGACAGTTAATAATAGCCGTCATACTTGACTGTTTAGGATTTCAGCTCATGTCTATCTGACTCCAAAGCTTTTACGTTTGTTATTCTGTATTTTGTCTTTCCTTTCTGGCTTAAGTTGTAAGCAGCTGAGATTCATAGGGAACTCTGGGGCTGTAGTCAGTAGGGAGATGAGCTGCTAGCACAATAGCTGAGCCTCTTGGTGGTTTGAATCCATTGGTGGCTTTTCAGGAAAAAGATGGACAATCTCCTCTTTGTTTTATAAGCTTGGAAGCCCGATAAAGGGTCAGCTGAGTTGGCTCTGATTAGACAGCAATGATTCGAATTTCTGAGTAGATCTTTAGCTCTGGTAGCTATTTGGACAGAGTTCTAAGTAGCCTCTGTGTGCCACTGAGTCAATTTTTTGCGTCACAGTGATGCGTGTGACAGAGTAGAGCTTCCCTATTAGGTTTCTAATCTTTGAGGAGGCAGGTTGCTACCTCTTTTTCTGTGGTGCTGATGGGTGGGTTTGAGCTACCAATCTTTTTATAACAGCTGAGCACTTACCTATTGTGTCACCAAGGTCTCCTCAAGACTGCCTACAATGCCTTCTTTCTTTCTCTCTCTCTCTCTCTCCTCCTCCTTTCTCTCTCTGTCTCTCTCTTCTTTCTAATACTAATTTATTTACAAAGTTCTTATAGATTGTTTTTCACACCAGATCTTTCCCATTTCCTTCACCATCCCCCTCCACTCTTCAAATTGTGCAAGCTGATGATTAACCACCCTCCCCCTCCCCAATCCTCAACCCTTCTGTTCCCCCTTCTCCCCCCTTGGACCCTCATACTCCTATAATGCCTTCTTGTGGGAAGGGAGGGTGGTGAGTAAGGTAGTTCTTCAGAAACAAGAGTGCGCGAGCAAGATGGGTGTATTGAAGGGGCTTTGTTCACAAGCTATTGTACTTTTCCAGGTACAACTGATGTTTGCTGTGTATGAATGCAGCCTGAAATTCTAGGATACATTTTAAGGAAAAGGATGGGGAAAACTGACGAAGATTTACGTAAACGCTCTTGTCCTACTCTTAATTATTTAATAATCACAGCTGTGTTCAATTCTTTGTGGAGTTGTTCTTTTTCTTTGACTTTCCTTTCATGGGCATCTCAGCACGAGGCCAATAATTTTGTTTAGAGCGCCGCCTTCTGGAAACATGAGCCCTTACAACTAACATTTGACTTCCCTGTGCCTGACTCCTTATCTGGGCATCTGATGACCTGGACTCATAGGCTTGCTGGTACAGTTTAACAACCGGTTCTAAGAGGGAGGGGGAACATAGGTCCTGATTTTTTTTCTTGTTATATGTAGGAGCCCTGGTGGTGTAGTGCAAGCTGCTAACACAAAGCCTTTCCATGGGCGAAGACTGAGCAGTCTTCTACTTTAAAGATACTCAGTCTCGAAACTTTATGGAGGTTTCTGACCATGAGTCAGAATAGATTTAACAGCAGTTAAATTTAGTCACTCAATGATATTCAGGCTATTAGCTTGCCATCACCGAAGGGGAAGAAACGAACAGCCACGTACCGTTGTATAGTGCTGTCTACATGCAAAGAAAATGAAACAGATGGAAATCTGTTTCCTAACCCATAGGGAAGTAGAATCCACCAGCGGCACCTCTGGAGAAAGATGGGCAATCTTCTTTTTTGAGGTTTACAAGCCTCAGAAACTCACTAGAGGGTTAACCATGCCTTGGAATCCCCTGGCTGGTACTGAGTTTTTAGGAACATACACAATTGTAAAATGGAGTAAAACAATTAAAGTGATGTTTCAGTTAATCTTTGCCTGTAATGTAAATATAAGTTTATAAAGTTTAACTGGCAGTACTTGTTGTGTTTAACAACCAGTTGGCATACATTTTGAAAACTTAATGACTCACTCATAAAATTTCTGAAAATGTAAAGACTTAAAGGAACAACACAGCAACAGTACAAACCAGCCCATCACATGAGTGCTTGGACTACTGCAATAGTGAACCTCTCAAATCTGTTTTAGAAGGGCAGCCAGAGTGATCATTAGAACCAAGGATGATGAGACTTCACCTCACATACTCTGAGTATCAGGAGGGGCCACTTCGTGGAGAAGAATATCATGTTTGGAAAAACAAAGCATCAGCAAAGAGGAGGAAGGCCCACAGTGAGACCGAGTGACATAGTGACTCCAACAATGGGCTTAAGCAGAGCAGAGTTGACTCATCAACGATACTGGGTGAGGCAAGTTTTCATTTTGATGTACAGAGAGTGTGTCTATGTGTCAGAGTTGATTCAGTGGCATATAACAACACTAACAGTCAATGCCTAGGTTTGCTCAGTCTAAATACAAAATACGGTCCTAATCCTGACCCGCTTTTCCGCTGCTCTGGGAAAACTCCAAACTCCCTAGAATCACATCCCAGCTGCTGTGGGTAGCCTTATTTCCCAGTATTCCTTTGACTATGGCCTGTCCTCCTTAAGTAGTAGTTACAGCACTGTTGTCCCAGCACATAAAGCCCTTCCACTCACTCCTTCTGCTTACTAAGTTTGATTTTCTATGAAAAAACTACATTTGCAAAATGTGGGTGAAGAGTACAAATGGAGCCACCTGGCCAGTAAATTTCCCCTTCTCTTCCAATGCCCCACCAACTGGCATTTGAGGGGCCCACATACTCACAACCTTCCTTCAAAGCACCAAGGATGGTCCACTGTCAGTTGGATGCACCTTGGAAGACTCCTTGTGCCAGGGGCCAAGGGACTCCAAGGACACAGAAGACCAGGTAGGGGGTACTCTAAAGTCTGGACATCAAGGAACTGGAGCTAAACATGAGCTTCTCCTATTTATCTTCCAAACCTGACACACACCACTGCCCACTTGGCCCATGAGTAACTAACTCCCTTCAGGTGCCCCACACTTCTCAGTTTGTACCTACTCTGCAATTTACATGTGGAGCTGCAACTGTCTGTTTGCCTGCCTGTCTTCCCAAAAGACATGAGTTCCTGTAGGCCAGAGGAGATGATACATTCATCTTTATATTTCCCAAATGAAATGCCTAAAGTGGACACTTAAAAAAATCCACAATTGTTGACCCAGCAATTCTACTACTGGGAATATACCCCCCAAAAAGTCCATAACTGCCACCCAAGCAGATATATGCACATTCATGTTTATCGCAGCTTTGTTCACAATAGCAGAGTTGGAAACAACCCAAGTGTACATCAAAAAACAAATGGAGAGAGAAGCTCTGGTATATTCACACAATGGAATACTATGCTGCTTTGAAAAACAAGGAATTAATGAAATATTATACAAAATGGGTGACCCTAGAGGAGATTATGCTGAGTGAAAAAGGACAAATATTGTATAGTGCCACTGTTGTAAAAACGGGACTGACATTGAGGTTGAGGGGAAACTGAGAAAGGGGATAAATAATGTATAATGTATTGAAACAGATGGAGAGAACTGTTTAAAATGAGTATAGGATTAGCTATTATTGTCATGACAGGAGTCCAGAATGAAGGGTGCATAGTGGAGTGGACTTGGGGGAGGGATTGTATAACAATGAAAGAATTTTTTCTTTAACTTTTCAAAGAGAAGAGAAAGTTGGGGGGAGTGGTGGGCAGGGAGAAAAGTGCAACAATGAGTGAATGGAAATCCAAAGTCTCTGTAAACTTTCATTAAAATTAATAACAAAACAGACCAAAAAATAAATAATTGACCTTTTCAATAAATGAACAAGGTTGATTTAAGACATGAATTTTCTCTTATTCTTCTAATTGAGCTGACTTTTTTTTTTTTAAATGGACCTAATTGATAAACCAATAAAGCAGTTGCTATTGAGCTGATTCCATCTTATGGTGACTACTTACACACCAGCGTAGAACTGTGAGCCACAGGGTTTCCAGTGGTTGGTTTTCCCACATGTAGATTGCAAGGATATAAACCTCCCATCTTCCGATCAGAAGCTGAGCATCACTTTTCTTTTTTAAGCTGAGCATGTTAACCACACCATTCTAATTTAATTGTTGTTGTTCAGTGCCTTTGGTTCTACTATGAGTCATAGAGATCCTATGAGCAGACCTGAACCTTGACCTCTCTTGAGCCATTCTCACAATCTCCAATATGCTTAAATTGTTATTATTATTGTTGTTGTTGCCACTGTGTAAACCCATCTCACTGAAGATTTCCCTCTCTTTCACTGACATAATGTCTCTCTCTAAAGACTAGTCCCTCGGGGAGCTCTGGTGGCCTAGTGGCAAGGAGTTGCAACTACAATCCCAGAGGCACACGGTTCGAATCCACCAGATGCTCTGCCGGGGAAGGAGGGACAATCTCCTCCTGTACCAGTCAGATCTGATTTGACGGTACACTCACACAAAAATAATAAAGTAAATAAATAAATTTTAAAAAAAGACTAGTCCCTCCTGACAACACGCCCAAAAAATGTGAGATGAAATATATGCAACTCTGCCTGTTAATCTTGATTAAATTGTCCTTTAGTTAAAGAAGATGAGTTAACTCTAACTGGTAAATTTGACTCTACGGCCTAATGATGACCACAAGTTTGCAATAAGCCTGAGATCATATTTTCTAGTGAATCACCACTGTCATCCTCTAAAGGTCAGACCTAAAAGTTTCTTACTCTTTATAATTGTGATGAGTCATGATTTCATGCAGATCAGAAGAAAGTTATATTTAAAAGTAAAGAATTTAAAAAAAGAGAAAGAGAGAGAAAGGGTGTTTCTCTCTGAATTTGGAAAGACTCAGTCTCATTACCTGTATGTCAAAATATTTTTTTTCCATTTGGGTTCACCTGGGAAGAGGCGGTAGTTCGCCACATCAGGAACTCCACAGCGAGGCTTCTTGATCACGTCCATCGTCTTCTGGTCCAGCTTCCCAGTGATTTGAAGGCCAAAGAATGCTTGCAGCTCCTTAATCTTCTTTACCATGGAGTTGCCTCTTCTTGCAACCATTTCACCCATCTGCTGTCCTCCTTTCTCTGTGTAATACTTGTCAAGATATTCCTGAAATGGAGAGGCAGGCTGACACATCTATGACACACCTGTGGGACATACCTATGCTGCAATAAGAGAGGGGACAGGATTCTTTGTATTTTAAAAGTGGTGGACAGAGTATTGTTATGGATTAAATTGTGTTCCCACCCGCTGGGGGGGAAATGTTGAAATCCTAGAGCCTTCACTAATGAATGTTTGCCAGCTTGGGAAATAAGTTTTTGTTTGTTTTCTGGATGTCATCAGTTAAATTAATGATGTCATAGTGGAGTAAGGTGAGCCTTGATGCTAATCACTTAGAGTAAAATTTTAGGAAAGAGAAAGAGAGACACAGAAACAGAGTCATACACAAGATACCCAGTGAAGATACATCTATAAGAAGCTGGTACACTAAGGCACTAAGGCTTGCAAAGTACCCATGAGAAGTTAGGAGATGCACAGAGCGCCAATACCCTGATGGGCACTTCTAAACTGTGAAAAATTAGATTTCTATTGCTTAAAGCTTTCCGCTCGGTAGCATTTTGTTTTACCAAGACAAGTAAGCCTACTTCCATTTTTTCCTTTTTTTTAGAAAATGTGTACTTTATTTGGTATTAACAGGTTTGAACGTTTGGTTTTTTATTTCCCCAGTTTGCTTTTTTTTCTTTGGAAAACAAGTTTTTTCATTGTTATACAGTCCCCCTCCCCGGCCTCGTCCCCCACTCCGACCACTTTACTATGCAACTCTTATTCTGAACTCTTGTCATGCCAATAATACCTAATCATAAATTTCCTTTTATACAGTTCTATCCCTCATCTGTTTCAGTGCCATGTACATTATTTAGCCCCCTTTTCTTAGTTTCCTCCCAACCCCAATATGAGTCCTGTTCTATAACAGTGGCATTATACATTGTCTTTTTGTGACTGTCTTTTTGAGATTTTTAAAAATTTTTTTTTTTTTTAAAACTTTTTTTTTTTTTTTTTTTTTTTTTTTTTTACCATCGAATCGGATAAGACCAGCACAGGAGGAGATTGCCCATCCTTCTCTAGTGGAGCATCTGGTGGATTCGAACCTCGTGCCTTCGCAATTGCAGCGCACCTTCTTGCCACTAGGCCACCAGAACTCCGGGATTAAGATATTTCACTCAGCGTAATGTCCTTCATGGTCACTCATTTGGTAAAATATTTCATGAGTTCTTTGTTTTTCAGTGCTGCATAATATTCTATTGTGTGAATGTACCACAGCGTCTCTATCCATTCGTTTGTTGATGGGCATTTGGGCTGTTTTCAATTCTTTGCTATTGTGAACAAAGTAGCAATAAACACTGGTGTGCATATATCTGCTTGGGAGACAGTTTGATATATTATTCAAAGTGCTTTTCTGTGACTGAGGTTCTGGTAAAGCAAAGGGTGCTGGGCCACCAAGTAGCAGTGGAGTCTGACTGTATGCCAGGAATTTCACCTGCTGAGCTCATTTTAAGGGAACTCCAATGGTTCTAATCCACCAGCAGCTCCACTTGAGAAAGACGAGAAGTCTCCTGTGACATTTATGGACTTGGAAAACCCACTGGAAGGTCAGCTATGAGTCAGATCTGACTCAATGGCAATGAATTGATAACTCAATACAGGGGGAAAAATGTATCTAAAGATTTTTATATCTATCTATCTATCTATCTATCTATCTATCTATCATCTATCTAATCTTATCATTATATAAGGAATTTACTACATATTCCCTATGTCATATGTTTTGTTTATCCATTACACATCTAATAGTATATAAATTACACATTTTTAATATGTAAATTGATATGAGTATTTATATATGTTGTTGATTGCCTTTGAGTCGAGTGACCTTATGAAGAAAAGGCCTGAAGCCCCTCTAAAACTATCTACCTTTATCAAAGTTCATAGAGTTTCCGGAGGCATGTTGTTTAGGAAGTGGTTGCCATTCCTGCTTCCAATTGTCATAGAATGTTATTCGTTGAGTTGCCTGTGATGCATAATGGGCCTAGGTACAGCACCTCTGAACCCTTCCTTGTCCTGAGCCAGGCTCACTAATTCTGTCACACCAACCCCCATTGCCCCAGTTATTGTATCAATCCATCTCATCTGGGATCTTCCTCTCCTGCTCTGTTTGTCCACCCTTCCAAGCATGATTCCTTCTCCAAGGACCAATCTTTCTTGGCCACGTGCCCAAAGTAAGTGAGGTGGAGTGTGTGTGTGTGTGTATTTATATATATAAAAGATGAAAGCAGACTTACTTGATATTAATAATAATGGATTTTCCAGGCTTATTATTATATCTCTGTGTGAAGCAATACTAGCTAGGTATATACTAAGATTATATTTTTAAAAAAACATTTAATAACATAGAATAATCCTCTCAATAAATGGCAATATATTGAGAAAAGCAAGAGAGAACGCAAAAGTTAGAAATAGAGAAGAAGGATCAGCAGTTGGAAAACATGGACTTGGTGACAGAAATGAAGCCAGAGATAGAATGATAAAATTTTGCACAATCAACGACTTATTCACTGCAAATACATTTTATAAGAAACGCAAACACAGGCTATACACATGGATTTCACCTGATGGTATACATAGGAATCAGATCAATTACATCTGTGGAAAGAATCACTGGAAAAGCTCATTTCAGCTGTGGAAACTAGGCCAGGTGTTGACCACCAACTACTCATATGCAAGTTCAAGCTGAAACTGAGGAAAATTAAATCAAGCCCACAGGAACAAAAATTTCACCTTGTGTCTATCTGATCTGAATTTCAAAACCATCTCAGGAAAAAGGTTTGAGGCCTTGGACATTAATGAGCGAAGACTGGATGAGCTGTGGGAGGATATCAAGAATATGATATATAGAAAGAATGGAAAAAAGGTCATTACAAAGAAAGAGAAGGAAGAAAAGACTAAAATAGATGTCAGAAGAAACTCTAAATATTGTACTGGAACACCAAGAAGCCAAAGCAAAGGGAAGAAATCAAACTATTAAGGAGTTGAACAGAAGATTTCAGAGGGCAGTGCGGGAAGACAAAGTATTATGAAATGTGCAAGGAGCTGGAGTCAGAAAATCAAAAGGGCAGAATTTGCTCAGCATTTCTTAAGCTCAAGGAACTGAAGAACAAATCCAAACCTCGAGTTGCAATACTTAAGGATGCTTTGGGCAGAATAGTAAATGATGAAAGAAGCATTAAAAGAAGATGGAAAGATATACAGAGTCATTGTACCAAAAGGAATTGGTGGACACAGAAGAATTTAATGAAATAATGCAAGAGCAAGAGCCTGTGGTGATGAAGGAGAAGTTCAAGCTGCTCTGAAAGAATTGGCAAAAAAACAAGCCCCAGGAAGTGATGGCATGCCGATTGACATATTTAAATAAACAGACGCTGCCCTGGAGGTGCTTACCAAGTTGTGCCAAGAAATTTGGAGGTCAACCACCTGGCCTACTGACTGGAAGAGAGTTATATTTATTCCCATTTCAAAGAAAGGTGATTCAACACAGTGTCGAAATTATAGAACAATATCATTGATATCACATGCAAGCAAGATTATGCTGAAGATTATCCAAAAATGACTGACATGCAGGCTGAATTTAGAAGAGGTCATGGCACTAGGGATATTATAGCTAATGTCAGATGGATCTTGGCTGAAAGCAGAGAGTACCAGAGGAATGTTTATCTGTGTTTCATTGACTATGCAAAGGTGTTTGACTGTGTGGATCACAACAAACTATGGCTGACTCTGAGAAGAATGGGAATCCCAGAACACTTGATTGCGCTTATGCGAAACCTGTACTTGGACCAAGAGGCCGTTATCAGAACAGAACAAGGAAACACTGCATGGTTCAAAATTGGGAAGGGTGTATGACAGGGTTGTGCCCTATCTCCATATCTTTTCAATCTATATGTGGAACAGATTATCTGGGAGTCTGAGCTCTAGGAGGCGAAGTGGGGCATCAGGATTGGAGGTAGACTCATCAACAACAATCCGTGTTACGCAAATAACACAACCCTGCTTGCTGAAACTGAGGAGGACCTAAAGCGCTTACTGCAGAAGGTCAAGGACTGCAGCCTTCAATATGGATTGAAGCTCAATACCAAGAAAACAAGATTCTCAGCACTAGGTCAATTGGCAGCATCATGATAGGTGGTAGAGATTGAGATTGTTAACAGCTTTAGTTTGCTTGGCTCTACAATCAACACTCTTGGTACCAGCAGCCAGGAAATTAAAAGGTGAATTGTACTGGGAAAGTCTGCTGTCAGAGACCTCTCCAAGGTACTGAGGAGCGACAGTATCAGTCTGAAGGCAGGAGAAGAAGACTCTTGATGAGATGGATTAACTTCGTGACTGGAGTAATCGAGGTAGGTGTGTCAGAGACAATAAGATTGGCAAGAGATAGAGCATGGTTTAGGGCTGTTGTACATAGGGTTGCTATGAGTCACAAGCGACTTGATGGCACATAACAACAACAATCACAATTTCACTTATAAACCTAACCAGATAGTTATATACATATACATGTGTTATGTCTATAAAAATTTAGAAATATACCGACACTTCTACTTGTGTGCATGTCTTAGAGGGCAGAACTCATTCTCACAGTTTTGATTAGAAGTCAGTACAAACTGTTTCTGCTACCCAACGACTTTTACCCTTTCTCCTTTTTGTGACATTTATTTTGCCACCCTAGGAAGAAACTAAGATATATGTCCATATTTTGGGGAGAGAAAGATATGGCTACCTCATAGATAAAGCTTAGAATGATACTCTGCAAATTATATAGTAGAAATAGATCCCAAAGTTTTCCATAATGAAAACGGACTGTTATTATTCAGGGAAAAGGAAAAAGGACTAGAACCACTTACTTGGACAGGATGCTCTATTCCTCTCCATCTGCACGTGAGAAGGCCTCACACTTTTCTGATGGCTTAAATTCATTGAAGTGGAGTGGGAACTGACTCCTAGCTGACCCTCCAGTGGGTTTTCAGAAGCTGGAAATAGCTAAGGGAGCTCTTGTG